AGGACTAGAGCCGACCCTTGGTGTACACCTACCGTGATAGGAAAATAACTTGATGATCCGTTACAAGCTTTTACACATGTAGTAGCCCCATCATACATATCCTTGATTGCCTTTACATACTGATCTACAGCAGGCGTAAATCTACAGCAGGCGTATCCTTGAGATCCTCCCGGTAAATGGGGAAAAATCTACAGCAGGCGTAAATCTCCTCAAGATCCTCTAGACTGCCAGAGTTCTGACCCGAGTCCTAGTTCCAGCAATCCACTTGAGAACACCGGTACATCTGACCTAGATATGCCCATTGCCCTTCGAAAAGGTACTAGATCTTGCACTGCTCATCCTATTTCTCATTACATTTCATATGAAAAGTTATCTCCAGGTTTTCGTGCTTTCAACACTATATTAGACAGTACAAAAATACCAAAAAATATCCAAGAGGCACTTAATGACCCTAAATGGAGGGATGCAGTTTTTGAAGAAATGGATGCACTTAAGAAAAATGGAACTTGGGAATCCGTGGCACTTCCCAGAGGAAAGAAAACTGTAGGTTGCAAATGGGTATTCACAATAAAATTTAATGCAGATAACAGCATCAACAAATATAAGGCCAGATTGGTTGCCAAAGGATTTACTCAGACTTATGGGATAGACTATCAGGAGACGTTTGCTCCCATTACCAAACTTAACTCTATCCGAGTCCTACTATCACTTGCTGCCAACCTTGATTGGCCCTTGCATCAATTGGACGTAAAGAATGCCTTCTTAAATGGGGACTTACATGAGGAAGTTTACATGGATCCACCACCTGGTTTTGAAGAGGGAGATGGTTCAGTATGCAAGTTGAAGAAGTCTCTTTATGGACTTAAACAATCCCCTAGAGAGTGGTTTGAAAAGTTTACTCGTGTTGTTAAAGAAAGAGGATTTGTCCAAGCTCAGACTGATCACACTTTATTTTTTAAACACTCCGATAGTGGCAAAATTGCTATCCTCATTGTTTATGTTGATGACATAATTGTCACTGGTGATGACTGGGAGGAAATAAAATCTTTAAAGGGGGGTTTAGCTAATCAGTTTGAACTGAAGGATCTTGGATCACTCAAATATTTCCTTGGAATGGAAGTTGCTCGTAGCAAGGCCGGAATTTCCTTATCTCAGAAGAAATATATCCTAGACCTGCTACAAGAAACAGGTATGCTCGGGTGCAAGCCAGTAGAAACTCCTGTTGAACCCAATATTAAATTGGGAATTGAAGATGGAAAAGATGTTGACAGGGAGCAGTACCAAAGGTTGGTAGGGAAGCTGATCTACTTATCTCACACTCGGCCTGATATTGCATTTGCAGTTAGCATGGTTAGCCAATTCATGCATTCTCCTAAGGAAAAACACCTTAGTGCGGTTTATAGAATCCTCAAGTACCTCAAAAACACCCCTGGTCGAGGAATGCTCTTTAAAAGGGGACACAAGAGGATGATAGAAATCTATACAGATGCTGATTGGGCTGGTTCTGCAATGGACCGAAGATCCACTTCAGGATATTGTACCTATGTCTGGGGAAATCTTGTGACTTGGAGAAGTAAGAAACAAACTGTTGTTGCCAGAAGCAGTGCAGAAGCAGAATTTCGGGCGCTAGCCCATGGCATTTGTGAAGGAATCTGGTTAAGAAGACTCCTTGAAGAGTTAAAGATATCTTATTCTCTACCTGTCAGACTCTATTGTGATAATAAGGCTGCAGTCAGTATTGCTCAAAATCCTGTACATCATGATAGAACCAAACATGTGGAGGTTGATCGTCATTTTATTAAAGAAAAATTAGAGGAGGGTAGTGTATGTTTGTCATATATACCTACCAAGGAGCAAACAGCCGACATTCTCACCAAAGGATTACATAAACCCATCTTTGAGGATTTAATAAGCAAGTTGGGGATGATCAATATATATCTCCCAACTTGAGGGGGAGTGTAGAATATTCTAGAGTCTTTTACTTGTTTCTAGCTACTAGTATCTTTGAATAGTGTGATGCCTCTTCGGTTACTGTGTATTTTATTTATTACTTCATCTCCTTAACTACCTTGTAATATGTATAAATAGAACCCTTTGGGGTGTCAATCTATATATGAAAAAAATACATTTCAGTCTTATATTCCAATAGAATCTTCTTTGGAATGGTGCCAACACGGAAGAATTTAGTCCAACCAGAGGGATTAGGCAAGGAGATCCCCTCTCCCCCTACCTTTTTGTGCTGTGCATAGAAAGACTTGGCCATATCGTCAGTGCAGCAGTAGCCCAAAAGAAATGGAGACCCATCAAACTGGGGAAAAAAAGGTCCCCCTATCTCTCATTTGTTCTTTGCAGATGATCTCCTCCTATTCACGGAAGCTTCAAGTGACCAAGCCAGCTTGATCTCTTATATTCTGAGCCACTTTTGTAGTGCATCCGGGCAAAAGATCATTAATAACAAAACGAGGTGTTTCTTCTCAAGGAATGTGAACCATGTCAAGAGGAGGGAGTTGTGTCAGATAATGGACTTCACACCAACTGCTGACTTAGGAAAATACTTGGGAATTCCTATTCTGCATAAGAGAGTCAATAAGAATACCTTCAGGCATATTATTGACAAGACCAATAGCAAGCTTAGTGCTTGGAAAGCGAAATCCTTATCTATGGCAGGAAGGGTTGTGCTTACTAAATCTGTCCTTGCAATGCTTCCTACATATTTCATGCAAACTTCCCTCATCTCCCTTGGAACTTGTGATGAAGTGGAAAAAAAAATGAGAGGTTTTGTGTGGGGCTCCAGTCAGGAATCCAGGAAAATCCATGCCTTACCGTGGAATACTATTTGTAAAGCCAAGGAAGATGGTGGCTTGGGAATTAGAAGCCTGAGAAAAACGAACAAAGCTTGCCTTATGAAGGTTGGTCATGGGATTTTAACACATAAGGAGGACCTCTGGGTGGGGGTTCTAAAGAACAAATATAAGGTGGAGGAGGGTTTGTTGCCCAAGATTAAGAAAAGAGCTAGTAACTCCAACCTCTGGCTTGGCCTCTCCCGGGTTTGGCCTAATATTTTTGAAGGGTCAAGAATTATGATAGGAAATGGTGTTGGGAGCTCGTTTTGGAATGATAAGTGGTTGCCCATTGGTCCTCTTATTGATCATACTACCCAAGCCATTCCTTTAGAAACCCAGTATGCTAGTATAGCCCAAATGGTTAACCATCAAGGAGAATGGAAGTGGCAGGAGCTCCAAAATTTCCTAACACGTGATGCCTTGAATTTTATTGCAGGTACTTGCCCTCCTCAGCCGGATGATGGAGATGACCGAGTAATTTGGGACTACTCCCATGACGGTCTTTTCTCTGTTAAATCTACCATCAACAGTCTTTGCATTGAGGATACTCCCCAACAACAACCCAAGTGGAATGTAGTTTGGGAGTGGGATGGGCCACCCAGGATCAAGACTTTTCTCTGGCTACTACTTGGAGACAATTTACTCACTAATCAGAGGAGATACCAAAGACACCTATCTGACTCCAACGCATGCCCCAAGTGTAACTCACATTCTGAAACCGGTAGCCATGTTATGCGTGATTGTCAATGGGCTCAAAATCTATGGAAGCTGTTTATTAGCCCAGATAAGTGGTTGGATTTTATTAATCTTCCCCTTCATGTTTGGTTGTCTACCAATATGTCTTATAAATCTAGCGTGCTAGGTGATATGAAAGGTAGTACTCTCTTTGGAATCATCTGTTGGTTTATATGGAGAGAAAGAAATAGTCTAATCTTTGAGAATAAGAACAGTACAGTGGAGGTGATTGCTAGAGCTAGCCGTTCATATCTGTTGACGTTTTTAGATGCAAAAAAATTATACAAGGATACTGGCCTTCAGGCCTGCACTCGAGTGGAGAAGCTCATACAATGGGATCCTCCCCCCTCTGGGTGGATAAAAGTTAATACTGATGGATCTGCCTTAAGAAGAAATAGACAAAGTGGTTGTGGGGGAGTACTAAGGGATGGCTCTGGTCACTGGGTTTGGGGTTTTGCAAGAAACTTGGGAGCTGGAAGTTCTGTGGAGGCAGAACTCCGGGGTATTTTATTGGGCCTTCAAATTTCCTGGAACAAGGGTTATAGGAAAGTTATCATCGAAGGAAACTCTCAAGTGGTGCTGGATATGATCAGAGTTGGCTTCCCTCCAAGCCATCCACATGCTGGCCTGGTCAGGAAGATTGTACAGATGAGGAATCTCGATTGGTAAACACATTTTGTTCATATTTTTAGAGAAGGAAATGGGGTTGCTGATTGGCTTGCTGGATTTTCTCATTCCTTAGGACGGGAGACTGTTTTGTTTGAGGTCCCCCCTCAAGGGTGTATTGGGGTTTGGGAGAATGATTTTAGGGGCGTGGCGTGGCCCCGTTTGATTAGAGATCTGTAGTTTTTTTGTTTTCCATTATTATACAAAAAAAAATAAAAAATAGTACAATAAGTTCAAATTTTGTAAACTTGAAACAGCTTAAACAATCAAGTGAGCAATGCTTAAAGTCATATCTCATAATATAAAGCTCTACACAAGTCAATACAGACTTCAAAAGGCTCTCATTGACTTGAAACAAAAGCATTGTCAATAAACCCAGAAAGAGTAAAGAGAATGCCTGTTTGAAGCTTTAAGGATTGATTATTTGGTCCCATTCTTTAACAAATTGAATGAATTTTCATAAGCCCAATGCATTCCTATACCAGAAGAAGTAACCCTAAGTTTAAGCAAAATACTTTCAAAGTAAAACTATAAAACCGCTCAGCAAAAGCGTGATTTTTATCAGTTTTAATGCCTTAATAAGTTTTCAAATAACATATTATCACCATGAAGATGCCAATCTCCAAGCAAATTACAATTAACCCGAATCAAATGGTTTCCTATATGTTAACTCACGAATTCCCAAAAAGTCCCCTATTCATCACCGCCTATTTGTATCGCAATTGAAGGAGAGAGAGAGAGAGAGAGAGAGAGAACCTCTTCTCGCCGCCGGTGTAATACTCCTGAAGGCCATCGGAGTCGCTGTCGGAATCGGCAGATGGACGGTTCAGATCGGAGAGCGTGCGGATTCCGCCGGCTCGACTGCTCGACGGTTTTGATGTCTTCTTGTTGTCCCGTGATGCCATTGATTTCACAGCACACACACACAGAGAGAAGACAATACCTCGCGTTTCGCTTCACGAATCTCTCTTATATGTTACGCGCATCGGAGGCGCGTACAAGAGTGAACAATGTCACGCGTAACGTAATGCTTTGCGCCTTCGATCTGTGTCTTCCTTTTAAGATGACAAAATAAAATAGCAAGATTCAACTGTATAATTGTGATTTTTCATGAATATATGGCATTTTTTTGTAACAATACAAATATAAATTTCAGACGTAGTAATTTTTTTAATAATTTTAACTTTTATTATTTAATCTAAAATTTAGAAAATATGAATATGATAAAAAAATTTAGGAGTAACATAATGAATTTTAAAATGATTTATGTTAAATAAATTATTTTTTAATTTGAGTTTATTTATAATTAATAAACATAAATATATCATCTCTAACGAAAATTGACTCAACAATATTAAGTCCAGAACAAAAAGTCAAAAAGTATCAATCCTGAAATTTGCGTCACAACTTTTTTTACGTATAATTTTAGTTATCAAATATAAGGAAAAAATAAAAAAGGTAATTATATGATGTAAAAAAATTAACAAATTATTATGTATTAAACATTTCATGATTATTAATAAAAGTAGTTTTATTAAAAAAAATGTGTGATATTATAAATAATATAACGAGAGATGTCAATAACCCAAAAAACTTAACCCCAAATTATAATTGGGAGAAATAATTTCGATCATTCATTTGGAAAATGTTATATTTATTACTTTTTTTCTTATTATTTCTTATTATCAAATCTTAATGGTCAATCTAATGATTATAATTTGTTAAAAATTAATAATTAATTAATAAGTGTGACACAATAAATAATAACCGTTAGATTGACGAATATCAACAATTAAAATTTAGTAATAAAAGTAATAAAAAAATATAAAATAAATATAACTTTCTCAGTTTTCCATACATTTAGGACATGTTTGATGTGACGTATAATGTATGATAGAAAAAAAAGACGCCATAATGTAATAAAAAATTATAACGTTTTCTTTCTTTTTTATCTGTTTTTCTTCTAGTTATCTTTTGTATTTGTTACTTAGTTTCTTTTAATTATCTTCTATTACTTTCTTTTAGCTATTTTTTTAACCTTTTGTTTCATAATAGTGGTAAAATTATCTAAAATAGAAGTTTAATCACTTTTTTGAAAGCATGAGTATCCGTGCTACGCACATATTAATTGTTTATTTCCTGTTGATTAAGTCATGGGATAAATTGTCTAAAATATCAAGCCAGATAGTTTTAATTATATATGAGTATGAAAATATCAAGATATTCATTATACTTTAGTTTTTTCCCATCGTCAACTAATACTTACTTCTTTAGAATTCTTTTTGGCAACACATTTCCCTTCCATCATCTATAACAAGAATATTTGAAATATGTGACTTGATTGATTGAACAGCTAAAGGCTTGTTTAAATAAAGTCATGATACAAAGGAAAACCAAAACAACCTAACTAAAATCTTATCAGAATATTTAAACTTTCCTAAAAATAATACAACAGATTTACACTGATCAAGAATATTATTTAACAACTCATATCAGCTAACAAACAAAAGAATAACAAATTAATCTATACAATCTTATCCCAATACTCCTCCTCAAGTTGGATCAGGGAGGGAGGAGATGCCCAACTTGGACATTAAAAATTCAAACTGTTTTTTACCAAGAGCCTTAGTAAGAATGTCAGCTGGTTGTAAGGAGGTCTTGATATAAGCTGTAGAAATTGTTTTTGACATGAGATGCTCACGAACAAAATGGCAGTCTAGCTCAATGTGTTTGGTGCGCTCATGGAAAACCGGATTTGAAGCTATGTGAAGAGCAGATTGACTATCACAAAATAATTTCATGGATTGAGTATGATGAACACCAAGAGATTGAAGAAAATATTTAAGCCATAGAAGCTCAGCTGTAGTACTTGCCATTGATCGGTATTCAGCTTCAGCGGAAGATCGAGAAACAGTATGTTGTTTCTTAGTTTTCCAGGAAATAGGAGAATTGCCAAGAATAACAAAATAACCTGTGACAGACCGTCTTGTAATAGGGCAGGTTGCCCAATCTGAATCACAAAAGGCTTTAAGTTGAATGTCACGATCTGATTGAAGAAGAATCCATTGTCCTGGATTTCTTTTAATATAACGAAGTACTCGGATGACTGCATCATAATGAGCTTGCTTCGGATGCTGCATGAACTGAGATAAATAATGGACTGTATAGCTGAGCTCAGGACGGGTGATAGTAAGATATATTAACCTTCCTACAAGTCTTCTATATCGTGTAGGGTTTGAAAAAGCAGGACTATCATCTAGTGCTAACTTGACATTCTGCTCCATAGGAAAATCAACTGGTTTGCAACCAAGTAAACCACATTCTTTAAGAAGATCCAGCGCAAATTTTTGCTGGCATAAAAATAAACCAGTAGAGCTTCTTGCAAGTTCAATACCGAGGAAATATTTCAGCTTATCAAGATCCTTGATTTTAAACCAAGTGTGGAGATGTGATTTTACTTGAAGACAAATAGCAGAATTATTACTTGCTAAAATAACATCATCCACATAAACCAAAACTGCAACAAATTTATCACCAGTAGAATATGTAAAAAGTGTATAATCAGCTTTGGATTGTTGAAAACCAAAGGAAATAAGTGAAAGGCGAAGCTTGGCAAACCAGTTTCTAGGTGATTGCTTTAAATCGTAGAGGGATTTTTGAAGTTTACAAGCCTGACCTGGAGAGCTATTAGTGAATCCTGGAGGGAATCTCATGTAGACTTCTTCATTGAGATCACCATGAACAAAAGCATTTTGAACGTCAAGTTGATGTAACTCCCAACCCTTTGCAACAGCCACGGATAAAAAAGTACGCACACTAACCATTTTTGCTACAGGTGCGAATGTTTCTGTATAGTCTTCTCCTTCAATCTGACTAAACGTGCTTTATAACGTTCAATGGAGCCATCAGATTTGTATTTTATGTGGAACACCCATTTGCAAGGAATAACTTTCTTTCCAGGAGGCAAGTTAGTAATAACCCAAGTTTTATTTGCTTCCAATGCATCAATTTCGAGTTGCATAGCTACTTGCCACATTTTATTTTGCATGGCCTCCTTGAACGTAGTGGGTTCAATATGTGCACTAACAGCTGCAATAAATCTCTGATGCTGCGTAGAAAATTTATTGTTAGACAAAAATTGATCTATAGGATACGGTTTACCTGAGGCGACTGAAGGAGTGATGTTGGTAGAAGAGGGTGTAGTCATGGAATTGCATTGATAGTCACTAAGATAGGTAGGAGCTTTATGCTGTCTTCGCGCACGTTGATTCGGTGCAACCATTGGCAACATGGAAGATGGAGAGCTCCCCCTATCGTGAGAGGTAATAATAGGAGACAAATGAGAAGAATTAGCATCAGTATTCTCGGAAGATGAAGGCACATTCACCGCTTCAGAAACTGCTGGGGATACCACTACTGTGTCGGAAGCTGAAGTCACCGCGTCAGAAGCTGCAAGAGACGCAACCACCGCGTCGGAAGCTGCTGAAGTCGAACTCACCACGTCAGAAACTGGTTCGGGTAAATTGGCACATGGTGGTTCATAAATTTTCGGATTTGCATGCGGTATACCAGTTTGAGAAGAAGAAAGCCTGTTGTGTAGAGCAAAAGGAAATTTATCCTCATGAAAATTAACATCGCGAGAAATAAATACCTCATTTGATTCCAAATCAAAAACCTTCCAACCCTTCTTATTGAACGGATAACCAAGGAGAATGCAGCGTTTCGATCTAGCAGCAAATTTGTCTGATGGTTTAGGCACTACAATAGTATAACATAGACATCCAATAACTCGCAAGTGATCATATGATGGAGCTTTTCCATGAAGAACTTCAAAAGGAGTTTTGCCATCAAGGAGCTTTGTGGGAGTTCGATTTATGAGATGAGCAGTGTTGAGAATGCAATCACTCCAAAAATGAAGAGGTAGATTACCATCAAATCGTAGTGCACGAGCTACATTAAGAATGTGACGATGCTTTCTTTCCACATGTCCATTTTGTTGGGGTGTGTAGGTACATGATTGCTTATGAAGAATACCAAAATCTGCCAATAAAGTTTGCATCATAAATGACATAAATTCACTTCCATTATCTGTTTGAATGCTTTTTACTGATGTTTGAAACTGAGTGGAAACCATGTTAAGAAAAAATCGAAAAATGTGAATATGTTTCTCCTTTATTTTGCATTAAAAATACCCACACATTTCAACTGTAATTGTCCACAATAGTCAAAAAATATTTAGCACCAGTGAAGGAGACATTAGCATAAAGACCCCAGAGATCACAGTCAATTAAATCAAAAGCATGCAAGCTGCGTTTTTTGTTTATTGGAAATGGACTACGAGCCTGTTTAGCTCTAGAACATACATCACAAAAACCAGCATTATTCGAGCTTGAAATAAAAGGAAGCAGTGAAAGATAATGTCGAGAAGGATGACCAAGTCTTCTATGCCACAAAGAGGAAGAATCCGAAATTTGTATTGCATTAGTGAAAATTGACGAATTCCTCAAGACATACACCCCTTCCTGCGCATCACCCCATCCAATCGTTGTCCTCAAGTGTTGGTCCTGTAAGATGCAATTTTTGTCAGTAAAAATTACGTAGCATGTATTTGACTTTATTAACTGAGAGACTGAAATCAGGTTGCAGGTGAGAGATGGAACATATAGCACATTAGTTAGAACTAATGAAGAAGTTAATGAGACAGTGCCACTTTTTACTGCAGTTGTTCGATTTCCATTAGGCAAACCCACAGTACAAGGGGATATGGATCGAATATCAGATAAAAAAGCAACGTTACCAGTCATGTGTTGGGATGCACCACTATCAATAAGCCATGAAATAGAAGTATGTGTGTTACCAGAAAGCTTGTCAGATGACTGTTTAGAAGAATCATCCACAGCCAGCAATTGTTGAAGCACTTCCGGTGTAAGGCTCGGCAAAGAGGCAGTATCGATTGTGGAATTTTCTGGTTGGGTGGTGATGGTGTGCGCGGCTTGGGCAGAAGAGGCAGCATGACCGCGTCCTCCGGTGTGACGTCCGCAAGC